ACTATTATATATATTATATATATATATATATATATATGAATAATTTTTTATTTCATCATATTCGTGATTTATGAATTAATGAAAATTTCGTTTTATAGAATAGCTAGGGTATTCGTTATGTTCGTGTATTGCTTATGACAAAAATTCATTAGCCTAGCCTATTTGCTATGAAGTTGATTTAAAATTCTTCATAACAAATTTTAAGAAGAAGTTAAAAGTTAAGAAAGAATTAAATTAGCCTGTAGGCTATAGATCTATAGGCTAATTTTCTTAACTTTTATTAGACTGCAGATCGGGAAAAAAAAATTCTTGATAATCTTTAAAATGAGAAAAATTTAGGCTACTTTCTTCGACTGCAGAAAAAAACTAAACCATTTAATTTGCAGTGTTAACTTATGAATTAAATGAAAAACAAGAAATAAATCACAACAAGAACAATATTTTTTTTTCTTGTAATCAAGAAAAAATATTTTACAAAATTTAAATTTTAAATAATTTAAATAAACAAAATTTGACAGTGAATGCATCTCCACTGCATAGCCGCATACAATTGTTGTTGTCAGTCGCAAATATTAAGCATGTTTTAGGCTATAATGCATGGCGTGTGTATTTCACTAGCTCCGTTCCCATGGACACCTTTTGTTTAAACTAATTCTGGATATTTACAGCCTAAGACGTGTGATTAATCAGCCGATTAATCCGTATCTAAAGCCATGTCTACACCAAGAGAACCCATTACGGAAAGTGGCGTGAGGCGACAAATCTTCTACAGTAACTGATGCCTCCTTCTATCCCGAATCTTTGAAACATGCGTTGTAAGTGAAACCTAAAAAACAGCGTGCATAAGAAAGCGATTGCACGTTTTCGGGAGCTACAGCAAATGCACGCGATCACAGATTGCATGCTTCCCAGCCGAAACAACACCCCACTTGAAATTTAAATAAGATTTTGTCCATATTGCCCATCTAAATCATTCATCCCACACTAACAACAGGCGCATCATGTGGGCTTAACACTTTTTGTGCTTCGTTTGGGCACCACAAGGTGTCACTGTGGCCTCAAAGCTTACCCCTCGCCTACTCTGGCTCGATTGCTATTCCTGAGGTAAAACACTGCCCTTCTCAGTACCCTATGGACAAAGAAATGTAGAAATAAATAAATAAATAAATAAATAAATGTAAAAATAAATAAATGTAGAAATAAATAAATGTGGAAATAAATAAATAAATAAATACGTAAATAAATACATAAATGTGAAAATAAATAAAAGTGGAAATAAATACATGTATAAATAAATAAAATAAAATAAAAAATGTGGAAAAAAATACATAAATAAGGAAATAAAATTATAAATAATGATTTATTTTTGCTTTTTTACTTTTCTTTGTATATTTATTTATATATTAATTTATTTATGTTTGCTTTTTTAAAAAATTTCTTTGTACATTTATTTATTTATTTATAATTATGGCAGGATTGGCATTTCATACTATTATGTATATGTATATGTATAAATATTAATATAAATAGCCATTAAATAGAGGATCTGATGAGCCACAGCTATGGGGTTTTACATAAGTAATTCATTTCTATTGTATTTTTCATGAAAATTCAAATAGAACTTGGTGATAGTATATTGGAGCATCCAAGGCAGCCAACTAGCACCACATACTGTCCAGGAGCTCACTGATGCCCTGACTGAAGTCTGACAGGAGATTCCCCAGGACACCACTTTGATTTTCAAGGTGATTTTGAATTCAGCCACATTGGGTTGATGATTTTAGTTTTCACTGACCACTGTCACATTATTTTGTTTTCAACGAATTACACAAAGATTTTCTATTTGAATACTTCATTCATCAAGATACAATGTGTGATTTAAGTGTTAGGCAAATTTTTTTGAGCAGTGTATAATGATCATATAATAGCATAATAATGCAAGTACATCCTTTCAAGAACAAAGAACTTCTAATTCTTAAGAATATTTAGATATTGAACTAATGTCAGCTCCATCAGTGTTATGTCTATTATAAGAATGAGCTGAAGTTTTGGCATCCGGCCCTTTAAAAGGTGCACTAAGCGAATTTTGCCAAACAATGTTGATATTTGAAATAGGGCTGGGCGATATGACGATATTATCGTATATCGACGATGACTCTTAAGTATCGCGATGTCGATGTCAACAGTCAGGTAACAGATGATTATCGACATTATCGGGAAAAAATGACGAATGATAAACCTAGTAAGTTACAAAAAATATTTTACATAGCCCCATAATCACCATACAGGTCTTTTTGCATGCAATAATGAAATAATTTAGTAGGAGGGTTGGGAATCGAAAAGCTATTCCAATTTCGGAAATCAGATCAGATGCATAAGGTCAGGAATTACTTGTTATAAAATTACTTTTCGATTCTGCTTCTCAATTTCTGTATGCGCATTTATTGTGATTTCAAAAGATTAAACTGCAAGAAGACGAAATAGAACTCACTTCTGCACTTGCGCGCTGTTTTCTGCACTGCAAAAAATGGCTTATCTTACTTAGTATTTTTGTATCTTAAAATATCTTAAAATTCTTAAATCAAGATACTTTTACTAGATAAGCCAAATGACTTAAGATATTTAGTCTTGTTTCCAGGGGGGAAAAAAAACTAAATTAAGTGCATTTTGCTTAAAACAAGTAAAATTATCTGCCAGTGGGGTAAGTAAAATATTCTTAAAACAAGAGTATTTTACTTACCCCACTGGCAGATAATTTTACCTGTTTTAAGCAAAATGCACTTAATTTAGTTTTTTTTCCCCCTGGAAACAAGACTAAATATCTACACACACACAAAACGCACACACAAAAGCCGCCTCTTATATACGCGAACACTGAACTGAGCTCTCTCTCTCGCATTCTTACACATTCGAATGACAAATACACACAAAATTATATCAAAATATCCCATAAATACAATCGGGTATGTCTTAAGTGAACGTAAAGAGTTGAGAAAGAAAACAAGGGTGTATTGGATCCAGTGGCGGTTCTACATTGAATTACACCCTGGGCGAGACCCCCTTCGAGAAAACACAAAATTCTGCACAAACAGTTATACTTTATTATAACAACATAAGTGAAAGAGAAGAAACCCCATAACGTTTTGACATAACGTCTGAGATGTTGGTTTATGAAATACAATTTGAAAAGTAGTCCGATTTAAATTATAATTACACAGATTTGAAAATTCCATTGGCTAATTACAGGGCCTAACGTTAACCCAACTGATGGAAATAAATAATAACTGAACTTGTAACAGTTTTGTTGCAAAGCACAATATTATGGTGAAATTAGATCTTGTGTTTGTTGAGTTAAAACCGAATTATTGTTGTATAAGCATAGCAAGCATCATAGCAAAAAGGCTAACAAAGAAAAAACAGAGTTATACCCACCAATTAACATTAGCCCTTCATTCATGACATGGATACCATAATAATCATACAGAGAGAACATAGTTGCTGATTGTAACCCTTCTTTTTAATGTTTTGTTCCTCTGATATTTTCCTCTTTTTTTATCTACTATATCTCTCTATCTATATTCAAACTGCTATTATCCGTCCTCTGCACTCACTGAACGCTCTCTTTTCCCTATCATTACTAGACACGCCCCTTACTGCTGATTGGCTGCAAGTGTGTTTTGTGACTTGGTGCAACACTGTGGTCAAAAGCATTTTTCAAATATTGCTTAGTGCACCTTTAAAAGGGAAATATCATGAAAATCTAACTTTTTCCATGTTTAAGTGCTATAATCGGGTCCCTGGTGCATCTACCAACCCAGAAAACTTGAAAAGGTCAACCCAGTAACTTTGTTTTGGTAAGCCTTTCTCTGCAAGCATGTGGAAAAATTAGCTGCTAAGATTTTCACCACTTGTCAATGGTGTACAAGTTCTAACACAATGGCAAAAGTTTGAGCAAAGCATGCTAACTATTCTGTCGTTGGCTGCACAAATGAGCACAGAACACTATTTGGAGTCCCAGCCTCAGAGGAGACAAGAGAGCAGTGGTTTTATTTATTTATTTACTGTATACTATATTACGCTGCTGCCACACAGATCTAATATAAACATGCAATTTCTTGCTGCCAGCTGTTTTTCACAGACATAACTGACTGTTTTTGTAACTTACGTGTGTTAACAAACTTGTGTATTTTTTTTTTTCAATTCAAGTTTATTTGTATAGCGCTTTTCACGATACAAATCGTTGCAAAGCAACTTTACAGCAAATTAAGTTTCTACAATAAAATTGATTTGTTTAACCCAAGCTAAAGAATAATAATGTGCATTTGATCAGATATACTGTAACTGCAGTACAAGATTATGAGATGCATTATTTGAATGCTTGGCCAAAGAAATGTGTCTTTAATCTAGATTTAAACAGAGAGCGTGTCTCTGAACCCCAAATGTTATTAGGAAGGTTATTCCAGAGTTTGGGAGCAAAATGTGAAAAAGCTCTACCTCCTTTAGTGGACTTTGCTATCCTAGGTACTACCAAAAGTCCAGAGTTTTGCGACCTTAGGGAGCGTGATGGATTGTAGCGTGGTAGAAGACTAGTTAGGTCCGAGATTCCAATTATTAACAAAGAGCAGTTTCTGTTCTTTACACCATGACAATAACCATTCATTTAAAGCAAAAAGTCTACTGAACCTTTCGTGTCCTCGTCGATACGTGGGAAGCGGTCCTGACACAATGATCGTCGTCGCGGGCGATGTGCTGCGCACGGTCTTGATCATGCTCCTGAAGTCCCTCTTTAGTGTCTCCGGCTGCTGCAGCTTGGAGTCGTTAACCCCGGCGTGAAGCACGACCGCTGTATTTGACATGTTAAGTGCAAAAAGACATGAAAGAGAACTACATGCCATACTCACATGCCATGTGACAGCCGCTTTCTAGTGCCCTGCACGGGCCTCAAATTTAGGCCCTAGCCCGGCCCTGGCCTGAGACGCTCAGGCCCTAGCCCGGCCCGTGTCTGACAGCTCATCAGAATTCTTGGCCCGAGTCCGACCCGAGCCCGTCTTTTTTTTCCCCTTCTCCCAAAACAGCTTGTACTACTGTTTCAGCTATTAAAATAGTTCAGTTTTGTATGTAATGTCAAAGTGATTATATTTAATTTCGTTTTTTTTTAATTTTTATTAAGTTAATTTAGAAAAACGTTTGGAGCATTTTTTGGTTCGTTAAAGGTAAGTTTTTGTTTTTTAAAGTAACGATCAATCGGCCAGCGGCAGACAGTGAGCTGATAACCTATGTTTGATTAATTTAGCCTTCTCAAATCATCACGACTTGCCTAAAATAAAATCTATAGATATAAAACAGTTCAAGCATATCACAATGTTAGTTTAAATGTTTAACCTATATAAATGTGCATTATTAAACGCACATCTAATTGTTTGTGTGGAGAGCTAAAGCACGCTTTACAGGACATGGAGGCGTTGGCGCGATCACTTGCATTGGAAACAACTTAAAATATGCCGTCATTTTTGCTCATAAAGGTAAGAGTAATACATCACTCGGAACTGTAAAGGGTCTACTTTTATTTGTGTGCACTCACAATATCAAGCACAATATGCTTTTATAAAATAAAGGATACATACAGGATGACCTTTTTGCAATTTCGGCCAGGAGTGCTTCACAATGATGAACCGAAACTCTTGCCTCACAGATATATCTATAGAAAGCTTTAAATTACTACTTTAAAACTAAATAAAACAAATCGAAAACAAAAACTCGTTCATTATAAAATCCGTAAAGATGCACTTCTCTCTAAAGATACGTCTAATGAGGAGATGGCGAGTCAGGATCGTCATCTTCATCTTTGCGACATGGACTCCGAAAATACTAATTTATTATTAAATAATTCAAATATCTCCTTACTATTTCCCCTGACATATTCATGGTAATTACTTTTGCTGGGGCTTTGTGGCACGCTTTAGCCCAGTGGTTCTCAAACTTTTTTGGTCGCGCCCCCCTTTAAACCTATAAAAAAAATCTGGCGCTTTTATTATTATTATTCTCTGTGTTATTTATTTTTATTGTGGGTTTCATGCTGTCTGCTAAGGCATAGGACACACACAGGCTTTCCTCCTCACCAACGACATTAAAC